CTCTTCCTCGGTCTCTCGTCAGGCTCTACCTTGGGCTGGGGCATGAGCAACGACCATTGGTTTGGCTTGTAACTTCAACCAAGGTTGTTGTTTGATGCCCTTGGTGGAACATTCAAAGTGGATTTATTATCATTCGAGTATCTCTGATCCATAAATTGAGTTGATGTATACTAACTAGACGGTGCTAACGTGCCTACTCGACCGCAATGTCGACGGTCGGGCGCAGCTGCAAGCACTTGTCGAGCACCTTGTGGATGTTGTGCGATTGGAACGCCTCCAAGCGCGCATCGCGGCCAGCCAGCTCCTTGTTGTCGACGTGGACAAAGGCCTGTTCAGTCAAAATGTAGTCGAAGCGCGGCGCCCACTTGCGGCTCCCGAGACGCGCGGTCGTCGAGCAGTTGTCGACCATGTACGCGACGCCACGCGCGTGCATGTACGGGTTGAGCGAGTCGGTCGACTCGATCACCGACTCGTTGGCGACCTCCGAGTAGCAGTGGCCGTGGTCCAAGAGCACGTCGATCTGCGCCATCATCATGGCCACGTACGCACCGCTCGTAAACGGATCGAGCTGCGACGGCATACGCGCCGCGCGGACCTTCTCGCCGACCTTCCACGTGAACGTGCCGTCGAGCTTGCCCATGGGAAAGGAGTCATGGCGCGCGACCGCCATGTTGACCGACTTGATCTCGTTGCCAGACGCGACTTCGTCGTAGATCTCCTCGAGGATGTCGCGGCACGGGCCATAGGCTGCCACGTAGGCGTCTTCAAAGGTCGACTTGGCTTCGCCCGAGAACTGGTCGGCGACGGCCTTGATACCGTGGTGCGAAATGATGTTGTTGAGAGGACCGGTGATGCACTCGGCCGCATGGACGAACGCGTCTTCGGGCGACTTGCCCTGGCCCATGTAGCGGCGGAAGAGCGCCTCGATGAGACCGTGGACGCCGCCGAGGAGGATCCCGCGCTCGCCAAAAATGTCCGACTTGTACTCGTCCGTCAAGGTTGTATAGAACGAGTACGGCGAACCGAGCGCGACGCTCCAGCCGAGCGCGTGGTCGGTCGCGCGACCGTTGACGTCCTGGTGGATGGCGACGCTGGCGTTGATGCCGGCGCCGTTGACTTCCTTGCCTTGGACGTAGAGGCGGCGGACACTCGGGCCCATGCCCTTGGGCGCGACCATGACGACGTTGATATCCTTCGGGAACGACTCGTGCACCGTGTTGAGGTGGCCGAGGAGGTAGCCGTGCGAGAGGCCGAGCGTCGCGCCCTTCTTGAGCAATGGGAAGAAGGTCGGGTAGAGCGACACGCACGCCGCGTCACTCGTGAGAAGCAGCACCATGTCCGACTCGGCGATCACGTCGTACATTTCGCCGAGCGAATTCGAAGCCTCGGTAAAGCCCACCGCGCGCGCTTTCTCGGCCGAGCTCGAGTGGTTGCGGAGACCGACCTTGACGTTGATGCCAGTGCCTTCGAGCGAGTCGCGGAGGTTCTGGGCCTGCGCGGGACCCTGCGACCCCCAGCCAATGACGCCGATCTGCTTGACGCCTTCAAAGGCCTTGGGCAGCTGGCCAAAGAGGTGGCGGCCGCCGGGCAGGATGTGCTCGGTGCGGTCGGCCATTTCGACGGCTTGGATGTTGGTGGCAAAGGCCGTGGACGCGGCGAACGGCGAAGACATGATCCACGTCAAACGGCAAATTGAGATCTGATCGAATTGGAAACGATCTTGGCGCGATCGCGCAAACAGAGTATCCGGATACACACAATGCGCAAACGACCTCTATCCGGATAGCGATTCCCGCCACACCGCGAGCACGTTCTCTTGGCGAGGCTGGCCAAGCGCTCCCTACCTAGTGGCGAGTGTCGAAGCGTCTACGCCCAGCCAGGGCGTTCCAAGCAGCCGGACCGCTCGTTGCCGGCTGTGAATTTGCTGCCATTGAAGCGAACGCTTGCGTTGCGTCCAATGGAACGGAGCTACCCCGTGACTGCGTCTGGACGATCGAAAACGCTATATGTTTTTTCAATAGCAGTGCCATTGGCACTATTCATCCCGGGAACGCTAGCAACGCGCATATCGAAGAGGATCGCAGGTTGCTGAGCATCAAGCCATTGCCAAGACACGCTCGGGGTGCTGCTCAAAGAGACACATACCGGTATCGAAGGACAGACGCATCGAACGCTTGTGCCAAGGATACAATGCATACATTTATAGCTTGCATCGAGGCGCGTTGCAGCCCATTAGCTCTTGCATTGTAGAGCGAGCGTGATCACGCCCCACTGGTTTGGTGCAGATCGTGTCGTTTGCGACAGGTCGATGCCATCACGGGTGTTGCTGGCGCATACTACGCGGGCGAAAGGCGCGTGGGAGATGCTTGGACAAGGAGGTATCATCACAGGGACCTTTGTGCTGGACGGTGGCTCGACACAACAATCGTCGATCAGTGGGGCTTGGGTTGCCTTCGCGGTAGCGTCACGAAACCGGCCGGATGCAGCAGGAGCTATTGACAGCACCGGCACTCACGGTCTACAGGGCTGTAGGCTACCGCAGTTGTGCTGGTCGTTCTTTGAGTCGGGACACATTTTCGGATGTCCTTCCAGCGAGAGTTGGAAAAGTCGTGCCTGCAGCGTCGCAAAGAAGCAAGTATGCAACAACGTGGTTCCGATCAAGCCTCGACATTCGTTTGATCCTTAGGTCCTTGAATAAACGTTTCTGGACTGTGTACGCGCGGGTACGGTAGCCATGTTGGGAGCTGATATTCGCTCCCACGAGGCATGAGCGCGCGCAATTGCAGTTGCATTTGGCATCGCCCATCTGGCGTAGGAGAACCAAGGCGTCTGCGACTGGGATTCGTACATGCGAGCAAATACACATGCGTGGGTGTCGGCCATCATGCTCGCACCCATGGTATCTCTCACTGCGGCGGCACCTTCTCATGGTGCCTCTTGTCGAGTATGTCACAAACTCGCGCTGCATTCCTGCGATGCTTGCATTGCGCGACAAGCCCCCCAAGTCCCTTTTCCGTCACAACGTTACGACTGTACAGAGTCGTCGTTCAGATCCTGGTTCAGGCCTTGCGAGGTGGTAACAAGAGACGAGCTACGTGAAAATGCTTGTTGCAACTGCGCACGACTGATCGCACGGGTGACGCACCGTCATTGATGGGCGCCGTGGCTTGCAGCGACGGCGTACGTGGCACGCTCTCGTGTATGTATGAAACACACCAGCCAATCAAATCGCTTGCTTTTCACTGGGCTTTGTCACGCGAAAAAAGCGCGACCGCCTGGCCTCGGTAATTTCATCAACTTCAAGGACACGAACACGACATCTTCGGCGCGCTTGCGAGGGCTTCGGGTTTGTCTAACCGCCCGGCGAACGAACAAGGGCATGCGTGCGCACCACCAAGCTGGCTGCACTTGGCTGCGACGCCGCTTTGGACCGACGGTGGTCGGTGAACGTCCATGCACGGATAGCGGATGTCGCAATCCAAGTGAATATATATACATGTAAGAAACAGGGCGCATATTATAGGAATGGAACACCGAGAGCGCTGTCTCGCAGCTGTCGCCAGGTCGCGACCGTGTCTGGCGTGTGCCAGTCGTCGTCTTTTCGCCTCTCCCAACGGAATCCGATGATGACCGACGCCGCCGCCGAGTCGGACCTCGAGATCTCGTTCATCGCGAGCCCGACGTCGTCCGAGCCGTCGTTCTTTCGCCACGACGCGACGCCTCGGGCTTTCATCTACCCGACGTCGGCGCAGTACCAAGCGAGCGCGAACGCTCCGATTCGATCCAACAACTCGTCGCTCTTCTCGTCGTTCCAGTCCGAGACACCAGCGCAGGACGGGCCGTCGTCCAACTCGACGTCCACCTCGGACGATGCTTCGTTGAGCGCCGATTCCAATGTACTCTCGGGTGCTCTGCTCTCGGGCACCACCTCCGACGTCGTGCTCTCGGGCACTACCTCCGACGTCGTCGGGGCCACGACCTCGAACGCACCGTCGAGTACGACGTCAAGCGTTCCGACAACTGTCGACGGCAACCACGTTCTCTCAAGGCCGTCTGCAGACGTTGCGCAGCATGGCGTGTTCTCTAGCTCGACGTCAAGCTCGGACATGCCGCCGCCGCTCTCCGCGTCGTCGTCCCACATGTACTATGAGGAAGAGTCGGGGCGCCAGAGTCTCTTTTTACCAAAGCACAAGGAGACGATTTCCGAGCCGCTGCTCAACTCGAACTTTGAGCCAACGCTCCTCGCGGGACTGGAAGAGCCTTTCTTCAACTTTGATTTTGCGGGTGACGACGACAGCTCGGAAGCGTCGTTTAAGATGCCGCTGGTCGGTGGCGCGAGCGGCGACGAGTCGAGCCAGTCGGAGCAACACCCGACGTTCTACTACGACGACTCGTCGTACGAAGACAATGTCAATATCTGGGCGTCGCGCGTCTGGACGTCGCGGTCGGAAACCGAAGGCGAGCTCGAGTCGTACCTCCATGCGATGGAGCTCGCGCGCGTGCAGATGCAAAAGGCCGGGTCCACCAAGCCCGAGTCCGAGCCGTACGTGATGACGCCGATCGAAGAACACGCTGCGCGGTGCTCGCTCGAGGTTGAGGCGATGGACGACGGCCTCAAGCCGCCACCGTCGCCGCTCCGAACGCCGTTCCACGCGAATGGTCGCCCAAGCCGGAGCTTCGATGTCGGGCCCCAACTCGAACGACCACACGTCGTCCGTGTACAGCTCGTATTTGGCCCGCACCGCGTCGCCCGTCGACTTGCGCGCGCGGGAAAACGCCATTTTGTCGCCGTATCTGCAGCAAAAGCAGGCTGCGCAGACGCTGCAGTGGTTCGACGCGATCTTTTTGATGCCCCACGAAGCGCTTCGACACGCGCTGGTGCGCATTCGGCGGCTCATCTCGATCGACTACATTCCGTTCCACATGAGCTGGAAGGTCGACCTCTTCTTTGATTGGTTCGCCGAGTTTGCCCTTTTCGTCAAGACCGCGATCGAGATCAAGCGGACGGTCGTTGTGCCCCGGGTTGTCCAGCGCAAGCCGGCGCTCGCAACGAGCCTCGCGGTGACGATGGAGGGGTACGACGCGACGCTCGCGGTCCTCGACGCAATCAAGTACTTTCACAACCGGTCGTACGAAGAGGAAAGCGACGTGAGCAAGGCGGGGATGCTCTGGGCGACGTACTTACTTCAGCTCACAGAGTACCTCGGGACTGTCGAGCGGCTCGTGCTGGCCAACCTTGACAAGGACGAAGTCGACTTGAGCAGCGCACTCGCCGTGGCGTACACGCACCGAACGTACCTTGCCGAGCTCCAAAAGCCCATCGAAGAAGCGCTGAACGAACAAGCCAAGCGCGTCATGGTACCGTGGATGCTCGACGCGCGCCAGTTTGGTTTCAAAGGCGATTTGCAGCACTGGCAGTGGGGCTGGTTTAGCAAGTGGCTCTACGAGCACCGGTGGCGGCCCTACTACGAGACGCATGTCGAAGGCCTCTTGACGCGCATCGAGTTTGCTTCGACCACAAAAGGCTAAACCGTCTTTTTACCTAATTTACGCGTATATTTTCTACATCTCGGGCGCCATACTTGTATGCCTTTGTTTGCGACGCAGGGACTGCAATTTTTCGAGCTAAGCAAGCGGATGGGGCTGCCGTATCATGCTGGGCTGTACTAACTATGCTGAGTAGCAGGCATCAACTATGCATTCACGTAGGCGCTGGACGAACAAGACTGTCGAGACTGGGGTAGGCGTCGCGGCGGGTCAGAGAGAGGGATCACGATAATGGCGCTCTTCTCGTTGTGCTGCTGTCATCGGCGTCATGCACTGCTCTTCAACACTGTCGACGCACGAGGTCGTGTCTGGTTTCGACTCGAAAGGACCGCCGGGTCCACTCGTCCGGCGCCGCTGCGTAAGAAAAGACAACTTGTCTATTCTTTGACGCGACGTCGCGCTGCCTCTCAAAGTTGGTACGCCCTGCGAGACTCTTGTATTGGCTTTGAAAGTGGTGGCGTGGTGGCGTGCGATCTTGCCACGTCAGAAATGCAGTCGGGAAGGCGTTGCGAGCCCACGACGCGCCTCGAACGACCAAGGTGCGTCGACACCTCCAAGCCATTGGGTGCATAGCCAGAGAGAAGAGGGCAGTGGCCCCGCAGTCGGAAGGAAGCCGTGCAGGCCGTGCAGGATGGGTGCTGCGAGCGCGGGAAAATGGCGCGTGAATTTCGGATGTCGTGTCCTGATTTGAGGCGCACGTTCGAAAATCCAGGCGGCGGCGCGTTCCGTGTTTGGCGCGCGCGGATTGGCTAAAAAGACTGGCCGCGGGTTTTCGCGCTATTGGACCAATGAAACGCCTCGATTGAGTCTTTTTATCCAATGAAATGCCGTAAATGGCCCGCGGGCGTGCAGCGAGCGAGACTGGGCCAGCGTTGGCAACGGTAATTTAGGGCAAATTAGGACCATCGGAAGTTTTGCGGCCGAAGATGAGCGGACGGAAGCGGAATGAGGCGCAGATGGAGCTTCAGGAGCTCCGGCAGGACCTCAAGGAGCGCGACGATGGGGCCGAGGTCGCCGGCGCCGTCGCGGGTGGCCGCGGACGCCGGAAGAGCGCCAAGTACAACGTCTCGTACGATGCGCTTGCGGAAGATCTCTTTGAGGACCTCGACGACGACGACGACGTGGCGCCAACCAAGGCGGCGCGCGCGGCTGCGATGGCCTCGGAGATGAACACGATCCAGAAGGATTTCTGCCTGGACGTCATCTTGGGCCGGCGCGTCAACTCGCGCACGGGCGCGATCGAGTACCTCTGCAAGTTTGCCGGGCTCTCGCACTTGCACATGCGCTGGTTGACGTACGAAGAGGTCGAAGCGTTCTTTCCGATCGGCTACATTAAGCGCAACAAGGTCCAGCTCTACGACAAGAAGTGCGCCAAGGACGGGTACGCCGACACGGACGAAGTCGACGATCTCGACATTGGCAATGCGACCGTCGAGACGATCTTGAACCACGAGACAGGCGTGACGAACGAAGACGTCGAGAAGCGGCTCGACGAGCGCCGGGCCTCGATCGCGTACCCGCGCAAGTACCCGCGCGTCACGGACGTCTACTTGATCCAGAACAACGCCACTGTCATGGACCGCTGCGCTGGTATTCTGCGGCGGCTCATGGTCGACCCAGCAGCGGCCGAGTTCCTCGAGCCGGTCAATCTCAAGCAAGTGCCCGACTACTTGGATACGATCGCCAACCCCATGGACCTCGGCACGATCCAGACGCGCCTTGCCCGTGACAACTACTACGTCGGTTCGTCGAGCGTGCTCGCATGTGGCGCATCATCTAACGTATGGATGCATAGGTCCTTCCGCGTACGGCCTCTTGGTCTCGGACATCCGGCTCGTCTTTAATAACTGCATTGCGTTCAACGCCGACGACTCGGAGATCGTGGAGGCCGCCAAAGGTCTCTTGGCCGACTTTGAGAAGCTCTTCTTTGAATGGATCATCTGCCCGTCGGCATGGCAGCTTTTGCCGTTGACAGGCGACGCCGAAGAAGACGCTGAGATTCTCGCGCAGTTCCACGGCGAAGTCCACGACACGCGCGCGCTCAACTCGTGGGAGCCGTGGGAGCCGGGGTGCTCGGTCTGCAAGAGCGTCGACGGCGACGACGACGACGCGCTCCTTGTCTGCGACCGCTGCGACAATGAGATCCATCTCGCGTGCTTGGATCCGCCGCTCGAGGCGACGCCGGACGGCGAGTGGTTCTGTCCGTACTGTGAGCTTCGCATGACGTACGAGGCCATGGTGCTTCCGAAAGGCGACGAGGCCAGCGCGTCTGCGGCCCTCGCTTCGATCCCGCACGTGCTCACGGCCGCGATCGCCGTCGACACCAATTTTACACTGGACAGCGACGCGCGCACGGAGGACACGCGGCATCAGAGCACGCGGCTCTTTGGCAACAATACCATGTTCCTCGTGCAGTGGCGCGGTCTCTCAATCCGGTGCGCGACGTGGGAGCGGGCCCAGGACATTGGCGACGACGAGCAAATCGTGCGCTACTTCAAGGCCAACAAGGTCCCGACCGAGAAGGAGATTCTGCAGACGACGTGCCAGCTGCCGTGCTGCGGCAAGCACAACGCGGTCGTCAGCAGCGGGCCGACGAAGAGCAGCAACTGCGCCGCCGACCGGTTCTGCACGCTCGGCGCCGACCACGACGGCCCGTGCAGTCGCGAGTGGCACGTCGAGTCTGCGGACGCACCGTACGGCTCGGCCGAGTACCGCAACCTGAAGCAGATGGAGCAGATCAAGGCGCAGCTCTTCGCCTTCCACTGCCTTTTGCACAACCACGCGCCGGACCACACGGTGCTCAAAAAAGTGTGGCGCCGCCGCGCTGGCGTACGTGCTAAAGAAGGAACATTTCGCGTCGACGGCGCGGACCAAGGAAGACGACGCCGACTACTCGGATGCAGACGACTCGTCCGATGACGACGATGACGACGACGACGACGACGAGCGCGTCCCGATTCAGATGCCGGCGTACTCGCAGCTCTTCCAGTCGGCACCCGGCAGCAACGACAATGCTGATGATTCGAGCGACGAGGAAGACGACGAGGACGACGACACGAGCAAGCACGAAGCCGTCGACGATGTTGTGAGCTCGGTCCTCGCCGGCATGGTCGAGCACCTCGCGCTCGGGTATCCCATCACGCTCGAGGTGCCCAAGCCCAAGGTCAAGAAGGCACCGACGCAGATGATTGACCCGATGACGTTTAGCAACTTCAAGATGGACACGTTTGGGCCGCACCAGCGCTACACCGAGTACTTTGTGGCCGTGCCAAAGGCCGACGGCGGCCTCGGTATGCGTCTCGGCCTCTCGGACGACGGCTGCGCGCGCGTGCTCGGCTTCCAGCACCTCGCCAACGGCATGATGGGCGCGGCGGAAGCCACGGGCGTCATTGCACCCGGCGACATCCTCGTCGGCGTCAACAACCGGCAGACGGCGCAGCTACCCTTTACGAGCGTCGTGGCGCTCATCTCCGAGTCGAAGAGCTACGTGCTCTTTACTTTTCACACGCTCCGACCAGCCCACATCTTTCCGATGCCGTGCGCGCCCAAAACGATCGAGCGCCGCTTCATCACGCTGCCGCCGCAGGTCGACGAGAACGACTCACCGCTTTTGGGCACGACGCCACCGTCGCCGTACGTGCCGTTCTCGTATCTCTCGCTGCTGCCGGTGGTCCGTGTTTCGAACCCGCTTTTGCGCCCCAAGTCGCGTCCGGCACTGGAAAACTACGCGGCGCCGAATGGCCCCATGCAGCATGTGCTGGCAGGCATTATGAAGGGCACGCTGGACCCGCACGAGCATTTTGCAAGCTTTTTGCCGACGAAGCGCAAGGCGGTCGCGACGATTGCGGCGCCGACCGAGTTTGTCCCGTACGAGCAGTCGCCGACGTTCAAGGGCGGGCGCACGCTCCGCAGCTACCAGGTCGACGGCCTCAACTGGATGATCTCGTGCTGGAAGGCCAAGCGGTCGTGTCTCTTGGCCGACGAGATGGGTCTCGGCAAGACAGTCCAAGTTGTCTCGTTCATTGAGCATTTGCGCACCGAAGAGGACATTCGCGGTCCGTTCCTCATTGTCGTACCGCTCTCAACGCTGCAGCACTGGCGGCGCGAGGTCGTCCCATTCCCAACTTGGAGTTTGAAAAGTCTTATCTTCGTGTAGATTGAAGACTGGACCGACATGAATGTGTGCGTGTACCATGACGTCGGCGAGCGCAACAACAAGTACACGGGCAAGGACCTCCGCACGCTCATTCGATCGCTGACGTGGTACTACCCCAACATGCCGACGACCAAGAGCGTCTTCAAGTTCAACGTACTCCTCACAACGTTCGAGACGGTCCTCGCTGACTTTGAAGAGTTTGAGACGATCCATTGGCGCCTCGTCGCTGTCGACGAAGCGCACCGGCTCAAGAGCGCGGGGTCGCGCGTCCTCAAGCAGATGCGCGCGCTGAACGTCGATCGGAAGCTCCTCTTGACGGGCACGCCGCTCCAGAACAACACGCAGGAGCTCTGGGTGCTGCTCAACTTTCTGGAGCCCGTCATTTTCGACAGCATGGAGTCCTTCATCGAAAAGTACGGCCGGCTCCAGTCGCAGGAGCAGGTGACGGAGCTCCAGAAGATGATTGCGCCGTACCTACTGCGCCGCGTGAAGGAAGACGTCGAGAAGAGCATTCCGCCAAAGGAAGAGACCATCATCCAAGTCGAGCTCACGATGCTCCAGAAACAGTACTACCGCGCGATTTACGAGCGGAACCGGTCGTTCTTGTACCTCGGATCGAAAAACAGCCTCCCGACGCTCAACAACCTCCAGCTGCAGCTGCGCAAGTGCTGCAACCACCCGTTCTTGATCAAGGGCGTCGAAGAGCGCGAGCTCGAGTCGCTCGGTGTCTCGCCTGACCCGGCCGACATTATGAACATGACGATCCAGGCCAGCGGGAAGCTCGTGCTCGTGAGCAAGCTCCTACCGAAGCTCCGCGCCGAGGGCCACAAGGTGCTTATTTTCTCGCAGTTTATCCGGCAACTCGACCTCCTCGAGCGCTACTGCGAGCAAGAGCACATGCCATGCGAGCGCCTCGACGGCTCGACGAGCGGCAGCGCGCGCCAAGCGGCGATCGATCGCTTCTCCAAGAAGAACTCCAAGTCGTTTGTGTTTCTCCTCTCGACCAAGGCCGGCGGCGTCGGTATCAACTTGATTGCCGCCGACACGGTCATCATCTTTGACTCGGACTGGAACCCGCAAAACGACCTCCAAGCCCAGTCGCGCTGCCACCGCATTGGTCAGAAAAAGTCGGTCAAGATCTACCGGCTCGTGACGCGCAACACGTATGAGAGCCAGATGTTTGACCGCGCGTCGCGGAAGCTGGGCCTCGAGCACGCGGTGCTGGGTACCGGGTCGTTTAGCGAAGCGCATGCGATCGAGCGCCCGTCGGCCGAAGTGCTCGTCGAGCTCCTCAAGAAGGGCGCGTACGGCCTCTTGGACGACGACGACGACGCGTCGAAATCGTTTGTCGAGCGGGACATTGAGACCATCTTGAAGGAGAACACGCGGGTCGTGACGAACGAGGTCGCCAAGGACGAGGACGAGGCAGCGAGTGCGTCGGCCCCGAAGAAGAAGACTGGCATTGTGTTTGACCGATCGTCGTTTTTGCCGAAGGCTCGACCGCCGACGTGAACGACCCGCATTTTTGGGAAAAGTGCTCGCGCAAGGCCAAATCTCGATTGAGATGCTGAGCCTCAAGCTCGACGACGGCTCGGCGCTCGCGTCGCGCCAGACCAAAGCCAAGTTTATGACCAACCTCGGCCACGCGATGGACCGCATTGTGGCCGACACGAGCCGCGGCGGCAGCACCAAGGACGTCTGGGACAAGCGGTCGTCCGGCCACGAGTACGACATTGCAATCGCCGTGCTCCAAAAGATCCTCAAGCTCAAGGACGCGTTCAACACTGACCAGCGCAAGGTGGCCGAAGCGTACATGGAGTCGCTCGTCAAGTCCCGCGTCCGCAGCTGCCGCGCGACGCCGGCCGCACCGGTGGCGGCACCAACCAGCAGCCGACGAAAGAGCCTCGGCGGCAAGAAGTCCGAGTCGACGACGCTCAAGCGGCAAATGCCGGCGGGTCCGATCGTCGAGCTTCCGAGCGGCGATATTTGCGCGCTCTGTGGCGACGGCGGCCTCATTCTGCTCTGCGACGGTCCGTGCCACCGGTCGTTCCATATGGAGTGCGTCGGTCTCAAGGCCGAGCCGTCGGGCGCCAAGTGGCTTTGCCCCGACTGCACGGCTGGCAAGCACATGTGCATGTGTTGCGGCAAGGTTGGCAAAATGGGCGCTGAGAACGGCGTGACGCAGTGCTCGATGGCCAAGTGCGGTCGCTTTTACCACACGACGTGCGTCCTGGAGCACGCCAAGGTCGAGTGGGTCGGGAAGAAGCGGTTCCGGTGCCCGAGCCACTATTGCCACGGCTGCACCAAGACGAAGAAGAAGTCGCCGGTCGTGAGCTGCGCCCACTGCGCGCAGGCGTTTCACGAGTCGTGCATGCGCGGTATGCGCATCCTCCGGCTGTCTACGACCATGATGATCTGCTCGGAGCACCTTTCGGACGACCGCGGCGCGATCGTCGAAGGCGTCAGCGATGACGACGACGACCACTCGGTCCAAGACGACGACGACGACGAAGACGCACCGATCGCGCGGTCGGCCAAGAAGCGCGGTCGCCGTGCGAGCGTTGAAGTGGTCGCTGTCGACGACGACGACGACGACGACAAGCCGCTCGCCAAGAAGGTCAAGCGCGGCGCCAAGGCCAAGGCCAAGCGCAAGCGGTTCTACAACGAAGCCGATGCGCTCCTCGCCGACGAAGACGATTACGAGAAAGAGGCCGAGAGCGACAACAGCGACGACGAGGCGCCGAGTGGCCGTCGGACGCGGCGAAGCAAGAAGAAACAGCAGCTCATTTAACCTTTCCACTAGTACGACCCATTGACAACCCAAAGCGACTCTACCTTTTCATCGAGTGCCAACTTCATTTGGCCCGCGTTACTGGACCAGCAGTCGTTCCCGGCCGAGAAAGGGGTCCAGCTCGCCTGCACGTGGTAGAAGAGTCCCAGCGACTATCGATTACTGAGCTATCCCCTGGTTCGACCCTATTCCACCACCACCAGTCAAAGCAGCTATCAAAGTGGGTTTTAGCCGGCGCAAGAGGGACCAACGCGACGCGATATGCACTGGAATTCACACAACGTAGTAGCATCCACCGAATCTACTCGTCGTCGGACGAGTCGGAGCCAAAGAGGTCGCTGGCGTTGGCCGTGGTCGCTGGCGCCGCCTTCTCGCCCGCGTCGTCATCCGAGTCGGAACCAAACAAATCGTCTTCGTCGTCGACAGAGGCCTTCTTCTGTCGCTTCTCCACGAGTTTCTTCATCTTCGAGTTGCGGTTCTGCATGTCGGCGATCGAGAGGCTCGGGCCCGCGGCCTCGTCGTCGCTGTTGTCGCTGTTGTCGCTGTGGTCGCTCTTGTCGCCGTCGGTCTTTTTGCGCTTCTTGCTGCCCTTCTTGGGCGCGGCGGCCTTTTGCTTCTCCTCCGTCTCGCGCGTCTTCCACGTTGCGTTGGCCGCACGCAAACGCTCTTCGTTCTGACGCAAGACCGCCATCTTGCGCTCCTCGGCAGCGTTCAAGCGCGCGCGCTCGGCCGCCTCTTTCTCGAGACGCTCCTCTTCGTCGCGGAGCATGAGGCGGCGGCGCTGCTCGGCCTCGGCCTTGCGCTTCTCTTCCCGCTGGCGCTCAAACTCGAGATGGTACGACGCCTTGTCGAGCGTCTCGGCGCAAAACCGCGCGTGGTCCTTGACCTTCTCCAAGTCGTACGCCGGCGCCTTCTTCGTGTCGGTCGCGAGCATCTGGAAGATGCGCATGGCCCGCTGGAGGTCCGAGATAGCGCGTTGGACGTCGGCTAGCGTCCGGTGGCTCTGCAGCGCTGCCTTGGTGTTGCTGGCGTCGCCATCACCGAGGGCAAAGACAGCAAACTCTTCTTGGGCAAGACCAAGGTTGTACCACAACCGCGCGTCGCCCGGCATCAAGTGCAGCCCTTTCGTCAAGGCTGCAATGCACTCAAGGTGGCGCTTCGCCTCGTAGTAGGCCTTGGCGAGGTACAAGAGGACTTGGATGTCTTGGCCGTTGTAGTGCTTGGTCAAACACACTTGGTAGAGCTGGATCGCTTCGTCGTAGCGCTCTTCGGCCATGTAGATGTGGGCGAGGTTGATCCACGCATCCGGCATGTCGGGGCACGCCTGGCGCACCTCGGCAAAGATCATCTTGGCCTTGTCCAGATGACCCTTCTCGGCCACCATGATGCCAATGCCGTTGGCCGCATGCACGTTGAACGGGTGGCTCTGCAGCGTGCGCTTGTAGTACGTCTCGCTCAGCGCCATGTTCTTCATGTATCGGCCGCGCTCGCCAATGTTGCTCATAAAGATGTTGCCCATCGCCAGGAACGAGTACGGATCGTTCTTGAGGTTCGCGCCGTTCTCGAGCTTGATGCCAAGCACCGTCTCGTACTTTTCTGCGCCAAATTCCACTCGCGGCGCTGGTAGTGCATGTTGCCTTGGAGCAGCGCCGCGTTCGCGCACGTCGGGTCCCGCGCCAGCGTCTCCTCAAGCAGCCGGACGGCCTCGTCAAAGCGGCCTTGGTCGCGCTTGAGCAGCGCGAGGCGCAGCGACGCGTCGTGGTAGCCCGGGAACGTGGCCACAATGTCGTCGTACAGCGCGGTGCTCACGGCCAAGTCGCCGCAGCGCTCGTAGACCAGCGCCATGTTGTAGAGGACCGTGATGTTGTCTTCGTTGACCGCTGGCAGCGGCGCGGTCGCCTCGATGCCAAGCGCACGGCGGTAGCACGCGAGCGATGCGTCGAAATCGCCCACACGCATGTGGAGCGACCCGAGGTTCACAAAGAGCTCCATGGGCACACGCTCGTTGGAGGTTTCGAGCACTTTTTCAGCCGCCAAGAACGACGAAATCGCCGCGAGCTGGTCCGTGCGCTCGTCCGAGACGTGGAGGATGTCGGCGACGCCAATGAGCGCGTTGACGTTGCCCGGGTCAATGTCCGCCACGCGGCGGTAGTGCGCAATCGCGTCCGTCTTGCGGTTCGTCTTGCTGTAGACGTGCGCGAGAAAGAGGAGGACGTCCGTGTTGTCCGGGTACGCCTTGAGCGTCTTCTCGAGGTACGCAGTGGCCTTATCGAGCTGGTTTTGCTGGTAGTACATTTGGGCGAGGCCCAGCCACGGCGACGCCAGCGTCGGCATGAGCTGACTCGCCTTGAAGTAGTACCCATACGCGTCCGCGTACTTGCCTTCGGCGTGGCGGCCGCGGCCCATGAGGTAGCAGCTCTCGGCGCGAAGCTCTTTCGTCAGCGTGTTGTGGTACGCGTTGGCCGCGAGGGCAAACATCTGGTCGTACATCTTGCGGCTGACGCTGACGCCGCTGCGCGTGCGGCCGCTGTACGGCACGTCGATTACGAGCGTGTTTTTTGCCGCGTCGATGGCGACGACGTAGCAAAAGAACTTGCTCCCGAGGCTAATGAGATGCCCGGGCGCCAAGTCGGTCGAGAGATCGTGCGACGTGACCACGGTCGACGAACCGCGCTCGACCGCCGCCGTGCCTGGCAGCGGCGACCACTGCAAGAAGTAGTGGTTGGCCAAGTGGTTCAAGACGGACGGGTGCGTCTTGTCGAGCGCGTGCGCGTGGTGCACCATCGTCATGAAGCGCGAGCCTAGAGGGTATGAGCCGTGGGCGCGATGCGAAAAGGGCGGGCAACCTTCGTTCTGCATGTTGCGCGCGCGCTCGCTCGGGCTGAGCGTCGCGAGCTGCCAGATCGCGTTGGCCATCATCGCATCGACGTAGCTATCGTCGAGCTTGGCCGCGTACTTCATGACCGCGCGCGCCTTGTCGACGCAGCCCATCTGGTAACAACAGTACGCAAACGCCATGCGCATGCGCGCAGCTTGGGGTGACTGCGGGTGCAGCGCGATCGCGTCGTAGTAGAGCTTTTTCGCTTCGGTAAACTTGCGCTTGCGCACTTGAAGGAGCGCGGTCGCGAGGATCGCCGAGAGGTTCTCGGGTTGCACCTGGAGAACGGTCCGGAGGAAGCGCTCGGCGCGCTCGTCCTCGCCTTTGGCCATAAACATGAGCGCTTTGCCTGTCAGCGTCGTGATGCACTGCGGATCGATGCGATCGGCCTTCTGGAAGAGCGCGGCCGCCTTCTGCGATGGAACCTCGCGCTTCCGGTCGTCGTCCTCCTTCCACATCGTGTTGATGTGGTGGCACGCCCATGCGTTGAGGATCTTGAGTCGGCTCATGCGCGCGGCCTCGTCGTGGTAGATCTCGTCGGCGTCCGACATGGTGGCCTGGTCAAAGATCTGCTCGAACTGGGCGACCTTGCCCTGCAGGTAGTACTCGACGGCAAAGTTGAGCCAGACCTCCAGCGGCGCGATCTCGGCGCGGAGGATCTCCATGATGTCGTTGGCGTCTTCCGGCAGCTCGTCCGAGAACATCTCGACGATCTCATCGCTCTTGTGGACCGGGATGAGCAGCGACTTGCGGGCGGCCATGCTGCTGCGGCTCGGTCGCTCAAAGCCAACTCCGACCAAACAATGGGTCTCTCAAACTCGATGGGACCTCCCACATCGGATACAATGCAAACCAATATAAAACAGTGTTTGAAACACTGTTTGGAATGCAGTGTGTCAGACACTTTCTCTGTGCTGGGAGCTCGTGGTCGAGTTCTGGGAAGATAACGTGAAGCACACATAAGTCGCCTGCTTCATGCCGTGCGTGTGGGTCGAGAGAGTTGAGCTCGACATGGCTGCCGTGGGCTTCCTTGGTATGTCACGAGGCCCAGCCTTTTCGTCGCCTTTGCGCCATTGAAGCTTGTTCAGCATCAGCTCCGAGCGCCGACGGCCAAACACGCATGTAGTACGCGGCTCCATGAAGCTCTAAAGCAGCGAGAAGCTTCGAGTGGTTGCCGCTAGAGACTGCGGCGAATGTTTGCTGGCTGCCCCTACATGGAACGATACCTAGTGTTTGACAGTTTGTCGTGGTACCCTAACCACGCGAGCGTTTCGCCCGTTTCATCGCCTAGGGCCATTTCGGGACGTTGCATCCACAGGACAAGAACAACAGATTCCGTCGTTGACTCCACGTGTCGTTCTGGGATCGACGTATCAGTCGCTGTAAAGTGTTGTCAGCTTCTTTGGCATATAGGCTATCGGCGCACCGTTGCGCGTTTGTTGTCACCGACGAAAACATCGTCGAGGGTCATGCAACGGGAGAATGACTTCATTCCACGCTTCAAGGACCCGTGAATCTATCATTTCAAACGATGGGAAAATTTCACATTCAGATTCCAGAGATTTCGAAACGTGTACTGTACCTGCATCCAACAAGTACTACTTCGGAGAAGGCTCCGCAGTCTGCCCAGCCCCAGCGTCTTATGCACGCACGAGTCAACATCTCGTGGCGACACCCTCACACGGAGCAGCACCACCCGTCGCACACACCGGCAGTCAGTTATCGAGGTACATCGCTCGCACCTTCGAGCCATCGCTTCGCCCACGTTACCACGCTCGGCTTCCGTCGTTTTGTTGGAAACTAAAGCAACGAGCTGCGTTCGCTCACCCGCTACTTGATGTCAAGGGACTACTGGTTTGTTTGCTGGGTCTGGCTTGGCCACCGTCCGAAAGGGAGGGACCCAGCGGGAGTCGCGAACCCAGATCGAGCGTCAACTCGAACACATCGACGCAACCACCCTTCTTGCCACAGCAGCCGCGCTTTCCTGGTACAGTGGACTCGTACTTCTCACTACTGTACGCCTCGTAAAGAGTACCGTGCGGGTGTAAACAAGCATGCTCTCGCACGCATGGATCACTCGGGTGCGGGTGACGCTACCCTAGCGACTCGTTGTATGAATAGGACGACGCAACTGCTCTCACTGACAAGGGTTCAGTGTTTGCGAGCGAATTCCCAAGAAGGGCATCCAAGAATACCTTAATTCGCTCCGGCTGAAGGCAGTAATCACACAAGATCCTGCCGCAAGCAGTTACGAGTTCATCCGGAAATCCGGATAGCACAGAAAGGCAACCACCGGTGGTGCAGCAGTTGCATTTTGGCACATGACCGACGACCGGGTCCTGGCGGCGCCGACAGCGACGCTCGAGACGAGCGACGTCCTCCTCTACGTCGCTTGCCTCGTCGTCTTTGTCATTGTGCTCGACGCGTTCCTGCACTCGCTCGAGCACACGTTCAAGCGCCATCGCAAGTACGCCGAGATGCTGCACAAGACGACCCAAGGTACCATGTACATGCATGTAGCACATGCCTTCATGGGCCACGTGTACTAGAGCTCATGATTGTCGGTCTCATCTACCTCATGGTCAAGTTCTGCCTCTACGTTGGGCTCGTGGCCAAAGGCGGCATTGCGTACCAGGCCATGGACGCGGCCGACATCCTCGTCTTCTTCCTCGCGATCGCACTTGTGCTTCAAGCCATCGTCATCTTTATGCGCCTACGCCGATCGAACAAGAAAATGGACAAGATCTCGATCATTTCGGCCCGGGACTTGGTCGCAGAAGCCGAGGCCAAGCAGTCGGCGTACGCGTCGCATTGGAACAAGCTCATGCGCACGGTCGTCTCCAACCGGTACGAGGAGCGCATGCACATGAAGATCCTGGGGCACTTTTTCCTCAAGACGTACGAGCTCCCCAAGATCTTTTCCTTCCCCAAGTACATCCGCGAAGTCCAAGACAGCCAAATTGCGCACTTGATTGAGATTGACGTGACGGTCTGGCTCGTTCTCTTTGGCATTTACGCTGCGTTTTTTGCGTGCACGGGCGAGCTCGTGACGCACAGCGCGTACCAAGCGTCCAAGGAAGCACGGATGTCGGTCTTTGCCGGTTTTGGCCTCTCGCTTTCGCTAGCAATGCTGCTTCTGCTCGTCTACCTGCGCTACCTCGTGCAGCTGCTCATGGGCCACGCGTTTGCTACCAATATGCGATCGTCCATCACCGTCGACGAGGCCCTCGACATGCGCGAGTTTGTCAACCTCAAGCGTGCGATGGAGCCCGTGATTCGCGAGGTCGACATGTCCATGCGCGTTTTCATTGCTCATCGCGATGCGTAGGAAGAGCGCGAGCAGACACAGACAATACAAGACGCACTCGATCAAATGCAGCGCGTCGAAGAAGAATTGACGAGCCCCGAGATGATCCACGCGCAGCACCACGGCGCGGCGTGGCTGGCCCACGACCTCTTGCTGCAGGTGTTGCGGTCCGCAATGCGCCGCCTGCGCGGCTTGAAACCCAACATCAAGAAGAACACGCTTTCGGCCAAACTCACGGCGACGGGCGGCGGCAATTTCACGCTGCCGTACTTTTCGCACAAGTTGGTGCACTTTTTCATGCAGCTCTTCCTCATCATCAACGGCTTCTACTTGGCGCTGCTGCTCAACTGCGTCATGTACATGGGCGGGTCGTCGATTAGCAATGCGTTCCGTATCGTCGGGCTTGCGCTCCCGCTCCTCTTCAACGCGGTCGTGCTAGCGCCCAAGATTGTCCGGCAGTTCTCGCTCGTCTCGGGCACGTGGCGGGTCGAGCCGAAGAAGCTCGCGCGGGTCATCGAGCACGTGTTCGAAGTCAATTCGCTGACGGATCAAATGGTCAAGCAGATCGTGCACCACTTACACCGCACGGGCCAGCACATTCGGGACGTCGAGAACGCACTCGCGCGCGCGGATGCGGTTGACGACGACGCAGGCGACGGCTTTATCCACACCGAAGTGCTCCGCGACACGCTCAAGCAGTTTGGCTTTGCGTTCTCGCGCCATAAGTTTCACACGTTTGTGCGGCTCCGATTTGCGACCAAAGGCAAGACGATCCGGTACCAAGATCTGATGAAGTTGCTGCCCCCGACGATGCAGCGGTCGCGTTTGTTCACGCCAACTGCACTCAAAACGGCAACACCGACGAGGGTGATGACATGGTTGAACGTCGAAGCGCCGAGGTACCAGTCTAAGACATGGGGCTTGCAAGCGTTTGGATTTTTTCGATTTTGAATGTGGTTGTTGTCATGGCTACACCGCTACACCGACACCACAGAGCTACCAACCCAACCCCTTTTGTCGCCGATGGGTGGTATGCCAGAGGCCGACTTCGCACATCGCACTCGGTCGCCCTTTTACCGCATACCTATATCACCAAGACCAGGGCCAAGACCAACACCAAGACCGAGAACGTGTGGTTACCATCCAAATGGTAGGCCAGATTGTATATTTCTCAAGTTTAGTAGTACGAAATTGGAGATTCGGCAATGAAATATGCTCGTAGACAAACCATCGAATGATGGCGAGCTGCATCGTTCTGCTGGCGCAGCCGCTGCTGCGAGGCAGCACCTCAGCACCGGTCAACTCAGGTCACGAAGGACTCATCTTTGTCCACTGTGTGGACGAGCTGACTCGAAAGGTCGTCGCAGCCGACGGGTTCTTCACGACGCGCATTGAAATGCGAGATTTGACGGGGCGCAACGAGAGGGATATGCCGCAGCCCCGTCAAATCTTCCATTGCGATCCGCGTCGTGTACAAGCCGTCGGCCGCGACGACCTTCCGAGTGACCTCGTCCACAAAGTGGACAAGATGAGTCCTTCGTGACTTGAGTTGACCGGTGCAGGGGTGCTGCCTGGCAGCAACGGCTGCGCCAGCAGAACGATGCAGCTGGGCATCATTTGATGGTCTGTCTACGAGCATATTTGTATGAGTCAATCGCACGAGCAAGCAGCATTTTCGCCGATAGTTGAGCTTGCGCGAACCGTTGCACCTTTCTCGCTGACGACGGCCCGAACAGGCGCCCATCGTTGGTGCGCTTTGTCCTGGATACATGCGCATGAGCCTTCGTATGTGGAAAGACTGCAAGGTACTTATAGGCCGGGCTCGTCGCGGGCTCTTGCGGGACAACCGTAGCGTGATCGAGAGCGGCCCGAGGTGAATTCGCCCTAACGCCTGCGGATGAGGATCATTGCGTCACCACTCATGGGCCTACTCGCGCTGCAAGTGGCGGTTGATCTTGCGTCGAAGGACAGCCACTCTACACGAGATTCACGCATGAGCAAAGCATGAAGAAAGCACGAGACTACTTGGCTGCGGGATCATTCACGCTGAAGATCTTGAGCAGACGGTTCCACTCCGTGCGCTCCTTGAACGCCGCTACGAGATCGTCCGCGGTCTGGGCGATCTTGATCGCGAGGTTGGATGTCGCGGATTGGGAAGTTGAGCGTTGTGCGCCGGGGTCGGCCGTGGCTTGCCGGTCCGTGGCCGCTTGCATGGCCGTTGGGCGATCTTCATCGTCGCTCTCGTCCGTCTCGCCGTCGAACTTGCGGCGGCCGATGACCTTCAATGCGTCTTGGATCATATTCACCTTGATCGGTTGCCCGATCGCTGTCTGAAGCTTCTGGAGCACCTCGATGTCGACTGATGCTCCGGGCGGCGCCTTCACCGCTGCCTTGCCCTTGCCGGCCATCGCCTTGGTCATCTTGCCAGTCGGCCAAATCCAGAATGAAAAAGATCGCCCTCTGATTCTCTAACAATGCATAAAGGAGAAATATGCGTTACCACAGTTCTTCACCACAGCGTAATTTTAGCTGGAGCTGCTCCTGGCATCAACAGCGTCGTACCGGTACTGTATTTCTGCTGTTGCCGCGTCGTTCCTACTTCACACAAACGCAATGCACATTCGCTGTGTACAGTAATGCATGCCGTCTCGGTTTCCAGTCCGTTTCAGCGTTGAAGTAAATGGAAAGCATGCATGGTGAATAGGTATGGCGATCTCCATTGTACTAGTAAGGACGAGAACGATGCGCTGCGACCCACAATCGACTCTCAATGATGGGCACAGGGCTCGTGCAAATGCATTGAGGACGACGATTACGAGAGCGTCGCAAACGGGTCGTTGGCGGCGTGGCCAGGCGCGGATTTTGGCGGCGGGACGTGGGTCATGTTGGGCATGAAGGTATGCGCCGTGGGCTGCCGCTGGACGCCCATGGGTCCATTCGTGTTGGCGTACATGCCGCCGTACGGCTGCGCCGTCACAATGTGCTGCGCCGGGTACGCTCCAGGAGGATTCGCATAGCCCATGGACGAAGGCGGGTACATAGGTGCCTGGCCATACGACGGCGGCGCTACCATTGGCGGCGGCATCACCGGCTGCGGCGCCTCCTTCGGTTTGGCCAAGCGCGCCTGCTCGAGTGTCTGCATGCTCACGGTCGTCTTCAGTTTTGGTTTCTCGACCAAGTCGAGACTCACAATGTTGGCGCCCCACAGCGGATCGCTCGGTGTTGCCTACACCACGAGTCCAACATTGATCCGTAGCATCGATGATAGTACCGGCGGTGCTTCGCTCATCGGTTGCTGCACCGGTGTCGGCGGTGGCGGCGGCGGCGGCGTGTACGAAAAGTCCAAGCCCTGCAGCATGGACGCAATTTTCCCTACAACATTCATCAGTCTATATCCTCCCGTCATAATCTTTTCGCAGATACCAGAGCTGTCCGTGCGCTGCTGTTGCTGCTGCTGGTTGAAGCCAGCGTTCGCCGCCGCGAACGGATCGTGCGTGGTCATGTCGACGCCAAAGCCGTCGGGCGTCGCTTTGGCCGGTGGCGCGTCAAACGGGCGAAATTCCGAGGGACGTGGCGCTGGCTCGCGAAGCTCCTTGGCGCTGCTTTGCTTGGAGTACTCGAACGACGGCGTCTTGGCCACTAGTACAACAGTGCAGGTCGCTTAGTGTCGTCTTCAAGATCGAGGTCCTGTACGGGCTTGGCGGGGGCGAGGGCTGCCGCAAGCCTCGCAGACGGGCGCGAGTCCCTTCTCGTTGACGAGCGTGCACGTCGTGCACTCCCACGCGTTGCCCGACCCTGTGCGTGAGAGGTCGCTGGCGCTCGACTCGCGGCTCTTCGGGCGCGGCTGCAATGGCTTGGCCGTCGTCGGCGCGCGCTTCACGTCCTTGTCGCTCTTGGTCTTGAGCTGCTCGGGGAGACGGCGGAAGGAGACGCCGTCGACAATCAAGTCTACGCTCCGTTGCTCGAAGACGTTATTCTATATAGAGCTGCCTACCGTAGCTATCGTTGAGCTCGACGGATGGCTTGATGATGCAGTGCAAGACGTGGTTGCCGAGGTTGAAGACATAGTCCCAGTCGCCGAGGCTAAACTGCAACCGCGATGAGCCCAATCATGGCATGCGCTACGATGCGTACCGTGCTCGTCTGGTACATGACGATGCCATCGATGCGGAGGTTCTTCTTCCCCGACGCGATCGAGTGCGTGAGCGAGATCTCGTACTCCTTGCCTTCCTCCATCTTGATGCGCCACGTGATGCGCTTCTTGGAGGCTTCGACCATCTTGCCGACGTTGGCGATCTCGTAGTAGAGACCAGCGGCCTTGGCGTTCTCGGCCTTGCAGTCCCAGCCCGTGCCACCGCGCGTCGGCCGATGGTGCATCTTGATCTCGTGGGCGAAATCTCAATTCTCAACTACCAAGCACATTGGCAGGTGGGTTTCGTCCGTTTTGCGTTTCACAATTTTTTCGTTTCCGAAATAGTACACTATTTCAAGTCGCGATTGCACCAAGACGGAGGTGGCCCGATGAGAAGCGCCGACGCCTCTGCGCACGATCGATCTGCACCATGACGCGAGAGCTCATACCTTCCTCCTCGTTCAATGGAGCGTTTGGTTGCGTCGTATAGTTCGATGCGTGCAGACATTATAGACGACTTGTCGGTCCCACACCGGGACAGTGCATATATCTCATCGGTAGGCCGGCGACAGCAATAGTGTGAGAAAGATCGACTCAATGCCAAGGCTCTAGTGTCCGTGGATGGCCAACCCACCCACGTACTACTCGATGCCGAGCTCTCTATGCGCAAGCCAAGGGCAACGTTGTTAGGACAACAAGGCAGTACCAAGAGCTCCGAACCGAGACAGGCTGCGCGCGCGTAAATTAGTATTAGAGAGGCATCCGGATACCGATGGCCGGTTTCGATCGAAAGATCGCGACCGCCGAGACGTCGTCGGATCCGCAGACCGAGATCCGACGGCGCATGCACAACTCAAAGCGCCCCCGCGTAGAGATGACTGCGTCGTTTCGCTGCCTCGTCGACGCCAACCTCGTCTCGGCCATGACGTCCTTCCAGTGCGGGCTCTACGACGACCTGCGGCCACGCTTTGCCAAGTGGCGTGCCAGCACTGCGCCGCCGCAGGATCTCTCGTGCCGCGATCTCTGTGTGCGCGATGGAAGCGACCGCCGCATCGTGCTGCACGAAGCCATTGCGCGCGGCGAGCTCGACGTCGTCAAGCGCCTCGAGGCCTGCCAGCTCGACCTTTTCTCGCCGTCGGCGATGGACTGCGCCGCCCGGACCGGCCAGCTCGCGATCGTCGAATTCCTTCACACAGCTGGCTACGCCTGCACAGCCGCTGCGATGGACCAAGCGGCGACGCATGGGCATCTACCCGTCGTGGCCTACTTGCACACGCATCGCCACGAAGGGTGCACTGCCCAGGCCATGGTCGGCGCCGCCGAGAACGGCCATCTCCGCGTCATCGAGTACCTGCACGAGCACCGTGACGAAGGCTGCACCGTACGCGCCATGGACTACGCGGCCCGCAACGGCCACATGGACGTCGTGCGCTTCCTGCACACGCACCGCGGCGAGGGCTGCAGCGCGATCGCGCTCGACTTTGCGGCCGCCCACGGACACTTGGCGATCGTCGAATTTCTGCACCGTGAGCGCAACGAAGGCTGCAGCACGTACGCCATGGACGGCGCCGCGCGCAACGGTCATTTGGCCGTCGTCCACTTCCTCCACACACATCGCCACGAAGGCTGCTCGCGCAAGGCGGCGGTTCAAGCATCGCGCATGGGCCACAGCACCATCGCTGCCTTTCTCAAGGCCAACTACTCGGTCGACGCGCTGCCGTCGGCGCCGCGTAAGCTGCGCGGGAAGATGCACAAGCGGCCGCTCGTTCGGCTGCTCCGCCTGCTAGTATGCCCCGGCGCGTGTGAGCAGCAGCTGCGCGATCTTGTACCATAGCCGACGACTCTTCAATATATATTGTCGGTTTCAACGATCGCGCCTTGTGATGGCCACCAGCGTAGGATTCAGCAACAGCCCGTACCGTACGCCATGGCCCAAGGTCGTCGTCGCCTGCTTGTACTGTACCAGGATGATGGAGATGAGCCAGCGCGGTGGCGGCCCGCGACCACAGATTGCATTCGTTTCTGCAGGTTTTGGGGATCGGAATTCGCCTAGATCAAGTGGGTGCGTGCACCTGTTGCAACTTCTTCGTCTCGCGGCAGTCGCCAGTGTACCAAGCATACGCCAGCGCAGAACCAGGAATGACGACGACGCGTACGCCAGCAGCTTCCGCCAGCAAGTCAGCGCTGTCTGCGCCTGTGTGTGCTAAACGTTTGTGCTGTGCGTGGTTGGCGACATGTCGAAGTGGCATCTGGACCAACAGCCCGCGTGGTCTCCGAGTGATATTGGCTACCGGAGATACAATCGCGACGGCCACTAATGGCACATTGCTGGAGCCCGCGAAAGCGTCCACGCAGCTTGGGCTGCGCTCGCCCTCGGTGTCTAGAGTTCTTGATCGGTCGCGATCGGTGGCCGTCGGTCGTGCCTCTGCCTGTCCGCCTGTCTGGCATTTCCAGTCTCTCAAACTTGATATTTTGAGAATTCGGCGCCGAGGCGTGTCGCAGATGTCCGGATAGCAGGCGTATCCGGCCCTATCACGCAAGATCGGCGTTGAAGGCGTGGCCAGGCAGATTACTAAATCCTAGTAGTAAGTTTTCCGCATGAGCCGAGAGAGCACCCCGCTGCTGGGCACGCCGGCGCCGCCTAGCAACGGCAACAAGCGCTTCGTGTACGCCAAGGTGGCCGTTGGCGCCGTCCTCGCCGTCTCGGCGCTGGCCTTGTTTGCATGGTCGGGCCCGTCCAATGACGCGGTCGTACACGCCAACCAGACGTCCTCGCTGGCGACGACACGGACACCGACAACGACGCCGCGCTCCGATCCGAACGCGCCGCTTGCCGAGTGGGCCGGCGAAGAGATGGAGCCGCCATTCACCAAGATGACCAACCTCATCGTGCCCAAGCTCCATGCGCCGACGTGGAAGGGTGCGATTCCGTCGAACGCGTGGTGGACCAACTTTCTCATCGCGGATGGCCACGGCGAACACCTCGGCGAGGGCCAAGTCACGCTCACGCCGTATACGGTCATCGGCCTCAATCGCGGCCTCCAGGTGTCGTACGGCGACGACCGCCGCGTCGGCGACAATGCGAGCATCCAAGAGTACTTTGCGGACGACCTTGTCTTTAGCAGCAACCCGGCGCCGACGACGCGCCAAGTCGTGCGCTTTGACTCGCTCCACGCGCGCCTCGAGTTCAAGCGGGCGGGCCACCACGGCACGTTTACGGCGCTTCTCTCGCGCGGATCGCCGTACCTCTCGGTCGACTACGAGGGCATGGTGCCGTCGCTCTCGCTCGGTGGGCCGGTCGGCGCCATCACGCAGGTCAACGGCGTCGCAGTCAACGACAAGTCGGTCGTGACGCTCACGAAGTCGCACTTTCATTTCCACACGCGCATCGAGCGCAACCTCGTGCAGGAGTGGCTCGTCTTCTTCCCGTCAAATGTGACGCTGCGCGTCGACGCGCACACGGCGACGGTGCAAGCCACGTCGTTTTACGGTATTGTCCGCGCGGCCATCGTGCCCCAAGGCGAGAAGAAGGCCGAGTTCAAAGCGCTTCTCCACCGCAGCGCCAACGTCGTTCCCGTCGCCGCCGCCATCCGCGTCGGGTCGGCCAAGAACACGGGCGCGGTCGAGTTTGCGTGGAAAACGACGCAGATGACGCCGAACGCGTCGACGATTGCGACCGACGAGCTGCTCATGCTCGCCTTTCCGCACCACGTGGATGCATTTGGTGACGCCACCGGCGTCAACGTCTCGTCCGTCATGAACACGCGACCGGACATCACCGCTACATCCTCGGACTTTAAAGTGCTCGGGCGCTACGGCCATCGCACGATCAAGGGCAACCTCACGGCGGTCGTCGGCTCGGCGTGGACCTTGCTCGAGCCGCTGACGACCACGGGCTTTTTCTCGCAGCGCCCGATCGACCCGAAGCGCGTCCATGAGATCTCGTCCGCCCTCGAGAAGGACGCGTCGTACCGCCCGAGTGCGTCGGACCCGTACTTTTTTGGGAAGGAGCTCGCGCGCCAAGCCCGGCTCGTCTTGATTGCGGACCAAGTGCACAACTGGGCGGTCCGCGACTCGCTGCTGGCCAAGATCGAGGGCTGGCTCACGCGCTGGCTCACGCTCCAGAACCACGACTTCTTCGTCTACGACACGGTGTGGGGCGGCGTCTGCTCGTCGGTCGGCATCCAGGGCATGTTTTACATGACCGACTTTGGCAACGGCTGGTACAACGACCACGTACGTCCTCGTCCTCCATTCTCCACATCGAACATGGATGTATGATGGTGGTGGTTTGAGTAGCACTTTCACTATGGCTACCTGCTCTACTCGGCGGCCGTGCTTGGTCGCTACAAGCCTGCGTTTGTCCAGGCCCACAAGGCGGCGCTGCACACCATTGTTCGCGACATTGCCAACTTCAACATCAAAGAGTACGTCCATCTTGATACATTGATAGTAGACGAGATCTCATGCCACGTGCTCTAGTCCGTACTTTCCGCTCGCGCGGCACGTGTCGTGGTTTGACGGCCACTCGTTTGCAAGCGGCGTGTACGTCTTGGACGGCGGCAAGTCCCAAGAGAGCGTCTCGGAGGCTATCAACGCCTACTACGGCGTCTACCTGCTCGGCCAAGTGCTCGCGATGCCGGACCTCGAGCAGTTTGGCCGCGTCTTGCTCGCGATGGAGATGCGCGCGGCGCAAACGTACTGGCAGACGACCCCCGAGATCTACGGCGACGAGTACGCGAAGAACCAAATGACCGGTCAAGTGGGGCAGACCAAGGTCTCGTATGCCACGTGGTTTGGCCCGGTCATCGAGCACATGCATCTGATCAACTTTATGCCGTTCACGCCCATCACCGAGGAGTTCTTCTCGCCCGAGTACGTCGCGAAGGAGTACAAGGTGCTCTACGACGGCGCGGTCTCCCGCAAGGAGAACCCGATGGAAGAGATCTGGCGTGGCTACGCCTTCTTGGACCATGCGATCATTGATCCCGCAGCGGCGTGGAACGAAGTCCAGACGCTCAAGACGTACGACGACGGCAACTCGCGCTCCAACTCGCTCTACTGGATCGCAACGCGCCCCACCAAGCCGTAATTTTGACGGCAGCAGGACGTTTTCTAGATAAATAAGGTCATGTAGAAAGCAGTAAGTCGCTGCGGTTTGAACTCGCGTCTTGGAAGCAACGGCTGCACGGCGGTGCTTGTGCTTCCGGTGCGAGGGCAGGGGCCAAAGTTGCGTGCGATTATCCGATCTTGTGGCCGTGATATCCTATTGTACACAGTCGTTGCTTCCAGAGGTTTGAACGGGTGTCGTGCAAGGCAGCAGCGCCTCTACGGGATTCGAAAGCGTCACCCAAGGATATAGAGACAGGCATGCCCTTGCTGCAACGCGCTGCACAATCCTGTGTGTGGCCGTGCCAAAGTTGCGTGCGATTATCCGATCTTGTGGCGGCGTAATAATAATAGAATGCAATTCGAATGGTCGCGTCGATGATTGGTCCGAGTTTTGACCAATCCCGTGTGGTTTTTCAAAAGCACTGGTCCGAAGCTGCCACAAGTAGAACTCGCGATGGACGACCTCGACCTCTTTGGCGCCTTTGACGACGCGCAGACGCTGTCGACGGCCGAGCAGGCCGCGCTGGCGACGGCGCCGACGCCGACGACGGCCGCGCCCTTGAAGCGCAAGGCCGACGAGGCTGCGCTGCCAGCTACGAAGCGCATCCAAGTCCAAGTCGTGCAGAACGTCGAAGCGCCCAAGGGACGAGGTGCACTGCGCGACGGGCACGCAGAAGAAGAACCTCATCTCGTTCTCGGCGCTGCCGCCGGACTACGTGGCGCCGACGCTGCCGGACGACTTTGTGCCGGCCAAGACGTATCCGTTCACGCTGGATCCGTTCCAGCAGCAGTCGGTCGACTACATTGAGAAGGGCGAGAGCGTCCTCGTCTCGGCGCACACGTCGGCCGGCAAGACGGCCGTGGCCGAGTACGCGATCGCCAAGTCGCTGCGTGACAAGCAGCGCGTCATCTACACGTCGCCGATCAAGGCGCTGTCGAACCAAAAGTACCGCGACCTCGAGCAAGAGTTTGGCGACGTGGGCTTGATGACGGGCGACATTACGATCAACCCGACGGCCACGTGCCTCATCATGACGACCGAGATTCTGCGCTCGATGCTCTACCGCGGGTCCGAAGTCATGCGCGAGGTGGCGTGGGTCATTTACGACGAGATCCACTACATGCGTGACAAGGAGCGTGGTGTGGTGTGGGAGGAGAGTATCATCCTCCTCCCGCACAAGGTCCGGTTCGTCTTTCTCTCGGCGACGATTCCCAACTCGAAGGAGTTTGCGTCGTGGATCTGCCACATCCACCACCAGCCGTGCCACGTCGTGTACACGGACTACCGCCCGACGCCACTGCAGCACTATGTGTTTCCCGCGGGCGGCGACGGTCTCCACCTCGTCGTCGACGAGAAGGGCAAGTTCCGCGAAGACAACTTCCAGAAAGCGATGGCGACGCTCTCGGCGTCCATGGAGCCCGAGCCGGCCGACCAAAGTGCCGCCAAAAAGGGCGCGAAAAAGACGGGCGGAAACCCGAAAAAGAAGATTGGCGCCGACGTCTTCCGCATCGTCAAGCTCGTCATGGAGCGGCAGTACGACCCGGTCATTATCTTCTCATTCTCCAAGCGCGAGTGCGAAGCCTATGCGCTCCTCCTCTCGAAGCTCGACTTTACGACCGACGAAGAGAAGACCATGGTCGACCAAGTGTTCAAGAACGCGATCGACTCGCTCAGCGACGACGACAAGAGCCTTCCGCAGGTCGACTCGATCCTGCCGCTCTTGCGTCGTGGCATTGGGATTCACCACGGCGGCCTCCTTCCGATCCTCAAGGAAGTCATCGAGATCATGTTTGGCGAAGGCCTCCTCAAGTGCCTCTTTGCGACCGAGACGTTCTCGATGGGCTTGAACATGCCGGCCAAGACGGTCGTCTTCACGAACTGCCGCAAGTACGACGGCAACGACTTTCGCTGGATCACGTCGGGCGAGTACATTCAAATGTCGGGCCGCGCCGGTCGTCGCTCGAAGGATGCGCGCGGTATCGTCATCCAAATGCTCTCGGACAAGATGGAGCCGCAGGTCGCGAAAGGCATTCTGTACGGCCAAGCCGACCCGCTCTTTTCGAGCTTCCATCTCGGCTACAACATGCTCCTCAACTTGCTTCGGGTCGAAGATGCCAACCCCGAGTACATGATCAAGCAGAGTTTCCACCAGTTCCAGAACGAACAAGCCGCGCCCGGCTTGGAAGACGCGCTCGCCCGCGTCCTCGAAGAGAAGGACGCGATCGAGATTCCCAACGAACCCGAAGTCGCCGAGTACTACTACCTCTCCAAGAGCGTCGCCAAGTACGCCGACGACCTCCGCGCGATCCGGAACGAGCCCAAGTACATTGTGCCCTTCTTGAACGCCGGCCGCCTCGTCAAGGTCCACAGCACGAGCGCTCCTTGGGACTATGGCGTCATTGTCAACTTTGAGTCGGGCATCAAGACCAACCCGGACGCCGCGCAAGCGTCCGACACAGCGACCGTCGTCCACGTGCTCCTCAACTGCCGCGCCGGCGTCGACAAGGCTGAGCCTGAACCCGCGGCGCCGGGTGCCTGGACGCACCGCGAGTCGGAGATGAAGATCTGCCCCGTGCCGCTGGCGCGCATCGATGTGCTCTCGTCGCTCCGTGTGTACATTCCCAAGGACCTCCGCCCGCTCGACGCGCGCGTCGCCGTCGCCAAGTCGCTCGCTGAGGTCATGCGCCGGTTCCCGCAGGGCGTGCCGCTCCTGGATCCGATCGAGGACATGGCGATCGAGGACCCGGCCTTCAAGAAGCTCGTCGCCAAGGCCAATGACGCGCAGGCGTCGATGCTCGCGTCGCCGATCCACGCCGAGCCGGGCTCTCGCTTTGCCTTGTACTCGGAGAAGATGGAGTGCGAAGCCAAGGTGCGCGAGCTCGAGCGCCAGATCAAGGACTCGCAGACGCTTGTGTTGAAGGACGATCTCCGGCGCCGGAAGCGCGTGCTCCGCCGGCTCGAGTTTGTCACGGCCGACAACGTCATTGGGCGCAAGGGCCGGACGGCGTGCGAGGTCTCGACCGCCGACGAGCTTCTCGTGACGGAGCTCATCTTCAACGGCGCGTTCAACGACCTCGGCGTCAAGGAGACGGTCGCGCTCCTGAGTTGCTTGATCAACACGGAAAAGGTCAAGGACGGGCAAAAGCCGCCGACCGCCGAAGCGCTTGAGGCACCCGTGCGCACGCTGCGCGACACGGCCCGCCGCGTGGCCAAGACGATGCAGGACGCCAACATCACGATCGACGTCGAGGAGTACGCGGCGTCGTTCAACACCAACATGGTCGACGTCCTCATCGCGTGGTGCGAAGGCGCCAAGTTCAGTCAGATCTGCAAGATGACCGACCAGTTCGAGGGCTCGATCATCCGTCTCATTCGGCGCCTCGAAGAGCTCCTTCGGCAGCTCACGCTGGCCGCGCACTCGATTGGCAACGCCGAGCTCGAGGCCAAGTTCGAAGAAGGCGGCAAGAAGATCAAGCGCGATATCGTCTTTGCAGCCTCGCTCTACTTGTAAACTCGACTACCTAACCAGCTATATACACCACACAGAAAACGTTTGTCGACGGTCCTGCTATAGAGGTGGTGTGTTATCCTAAGGTGGGCCGCGAATACATAGAGGGTGCCTAATAGTTGTGAGATGAGATGCGACCTAGGTCGCTGCCATGGGCTCGTCGTTGGCGGATGCGGATGGCGCGCCCATCATGGTGGCCATGTGCATGGCCGTCTGCATGACCGAGTCGCCGACGGGAATCTCGGCAAACATGCGCTCCGTGTTCTCGAGCATCGTGATGAGCTGCGGGTAGTTGGCGAACGGCGACTGGTTGACCATCTTGCGCATGTACTTCGTTCGTGTGTTGTGGCCCGTCATCTTGTCGTGCTTCTTGAGGATCTTGGAGAAGCCCTGGTAGTTCATGACCGCGTAGTTTTCGAGCTGGATGCACTCGCGGTAAAAGTGCACAAAGGCGAGCATGAGCCGCTTCGCGTCCATCTCGTCGACGTCCGACGTCTTCTTCTTCATCTCGCGCAGCACCGATTGGAGCTGATGGAAGCGGAAGAGGTACCGCTTCTCTTCCGAGACGTAAAAGCATGCGAGTTTCCGCAGCTGGTCGCGGAGCTCCATGAAGAACTCGATCTCCTCTTGGTTCTGCGTGAGCTCGGCCTCCTTGTTGTTCTCGGACGTCGGCGGCTTGGCCGACGCGACGACTGCCTTGATGCGCTTCTTGAGCACCTTGTAGTTCATCCAGAACGGACCCCACTCGGGGTTGCTCTGGTTCACCGAGTTGAGGAGCTCCTTCCCAAACTTCATCGGGCCGAGCAGTGTGTGACTGGAGTCCGAGGCCAAGGCCAGGCTTTTTTTCTGTGGCCGCCTCCAGTACTTGGCCTTTGTATGCAAGGAATCCGAGATGCGCACCTCTGAAATCGTATATGTTCGACCACCCACCTCGGCGCGTCGAATCTGGCACGTTATCTAATCGCAAGGCCATTGGCTAACGCGATGCCAGGTGGCTTCCGCCTACCCGCGCCGGGTCTCGACCACAGCAAGACCGTGACCGAGCCGCGAGGGTCCGTCTCTGCCGTGGCCGGCCGAAAGACGCGTGTATGGAACCGTACGAGCGAGGACGAGAAGCGCGTCGCGAGGCGGCCGCGTCGACGGGCGGATGTAAAGACACTGAGATTCAACCAAACCTGTTGCCAACGCTGTACCGATGCGACTGCGTGGGACGCTGCGCATCTTGGCTTGCGAAAGCAAGCCGCGTCCTTGTGTGGCCACAAAGACAGCCACGGAAGGCGCAGCGCGAGGCGATCGAGATACGATTTGATGGAACGAGGTGATCATTAATCCGACGACGAAGTGATGGCAGCAGACAGGCGCATATTGGCGGATTGTGCACCGTGCACAGTCGCGATGGGCCGACGACCACTTCGAGTTCCGACAAGAGGTGACCAGGTGCCTCGCTAAATTGATACCGTGACAGTCGGCGATGCGGTCGTCGACCGAGCCGTCCTTCTGACAAGCGCCGTCAGCAACTTCAACACGGCTTTCCGCTCGCTGATTCGGCCACGGTGTCGCAGACGCGCGCTGTCTATTTGGACGCTACCTTGCCGTAAAGACCAGGCATCCGAGAGATCGATGCAGGCCGTTACACCTACTACAACGATAGCGCCGCGACGTTCAACCTCAACTATAAACGTTCTGGACATGTTCATGCCATACGCAGGCACGTAGAGCGTCCTGTAAGGTCGGTGGTTGGCAAAGGTTGCGTGCGCATAGCCTCGGGAATACCGGATACGGGATGCCCATCAACGCCGTATCCGGACGATCCCGCGATGGGTGAACGGTACAGATTCAGATTGCACTGCCGAGGATGGTGACAACTCGGAGCGGACGCAGCCCCGTAGCAGCTGCCAAGAGCCCCGCGAAGGCGACGACCCCGCGCAAGAAGGCTACTAAGAAGGCTGCCACAACGTCAGCGGCCGCGAAAGGCGACGAGCTCGAGCTTGTGCATGTGATGCTACTCTTCCGGCACGGCGACCGCTCCCCGATCACGACGCAGGTCGGCGAGCATCTCATTATGGACGCTGCTGAGAAGGAGCTTTGGATCTCCAAGCTGCCGACGGACGACACAATTGCCCGTACGTGCATGCGACGCCTTCTGGATGACCTTCAAGGCCATGGCATGTAGGGCTCGGCCGCATTGCCAAGGTGGTGGGCATGGAAACCCACCTGCCGCCGCCCAAGGACCCGCGCGACGGCGGTGTGTACCCGAATGGCCAGCTCACGCAATGGGGCTTGGATCAAATGGAGGCCAAAGGCCGCAAGATGCGGGAACAGTACGCGCGTTTTCTCGCCGCGATCACGCCGACCGACGTGTACATTCGGTCGACGAACGTGCGCCGAACGATCCGGTCGTGCCAGAGTCTTCTCCACGGCCTCTTGCCCGAGTTCATTCCGACGTCCGAGGACGATGCCGCCAAGCTCTTCATTCGGACTGCGCAGGTCGTGTCGCTCGAGCCGACGTACACGCAGGCCGAGTACGGCACGCTGCTCGCCCGCTTCAAGGACCCGGCGTTCGCCTCGACGCTGGCGCCGATCCCAAGTCACATTGGCGACACCGCGGCACTCGACGATGACGTCCGCCGCATCATTGGCATTGCGCCGTCGGATCACATTTGCTACACGTCGCGTGCGTCACACCCTCGATCCAACATTGGTAGGTCATCGCATTTGCCTAGTGCGCGAGGTGCTCGTGTGCCGCAACGCCCACAACGTGCCGTTCCCGAACGAGATGCCCAAGGACATATACGACAAGATCGTCGACTACAACACGTGGGAGTTCCACGCGCTCTTTGGCGATGCTGGCGACTGCTACCGCGGGTTCAGCCGCGGCATGCGCGAGGTCGCCGATTTGCTGCGCGCCGTGACGCGCGAGGTCTGACACGCTTCGATCCTCGGACAGCGTTAAAGCGATGATACTATCGATAGGCCACCAAGACGCACAAGCTGACGCTGCTCGCGGTGCACGATAGCTCGCTGATTGCGTTCTGGAACGCGCTCACGCTCGCTGTCGGGAACGTGTTTCCGCTCTATGCTGCGACGACCGCGGTCGAGATTTACAAAAAGCCGAGCACGAACGAGCTCTTTGTGCAAATCAACTTGGACGGTGACCGCGTCGTGCCTTTCACTGGCCATGAGACGACGCCCATGGTCCCGCTGGCGCATCTCGAGGCGACGCTTGCTGCCTTCTTGGCGCAAGGCGACGACGAGAAGAGCACCGATGCACCCGCCGCCAAGAAGGCCAAGACCGACACCTAGATAGATAGTCTTTTGCAGCTATACCATACGAATACTGCCGTGCATGATGTGCTTCAGAACGTCGGTGGTCGACAGCGACTCGAAAGCGTATCTTGGCAGGGAAGCGTCGCCGTGGATTGGTTTAATTTGAACCAATCAGGTGCGTTGCCAATACAGGATTGGCCAAAAGGTGTCATACTCCATTTCGCCTGCTGCGAGACAACCACCATGCAGACGCTTGCATCGACCGCCAACGCGCTCCTCAAGGTTGGCGTCGACCAGCTGGAGAAAGCAGCGCGGTCCACGCTCAAGGCCATCTTGTCTAGCGCCTTGGACGACATCTTCGATTGCACCACCACGTACGTCGGCAGCGTCCTCGTCGCATGGACCGTCGGCGCCCTCATCATCTTCTTTGCCTCGCGCTTGCCAGACGTCGAGCACGTCGAGACGCTCGATGAGCTGCTTTTGTGTCTGCTCATCGGCTTTTCCAAGCGGATCATGCAACCCGTGGACAGGCTTCTTCTTCTGTACCGCCTGACCCGTCTCGAGGAACGCCATATCCGAGGCGATGAGCCGGTCGCCAACGACGACAACGCTCCGCTACAACGATCGCCACCTTCACCCAGCCATGTCAGCAGTGCATACCGCTCCTTCCAGCCCGTTCTAAGGCGTCCACATAGGCTGGTCGTGTAATATTACTCGCATACCTTGACTTGCAACGACGCGACGACCGCAACCACGCAAGACCATACAGGAGGGATCCCATCGGTTAGCACACCGCGCACGCGCTCTAGAAGAACACATGTATGGTGTCTTGAAGTGCGGCGCAGAGGCCGTCGTTGCTACTGCTGCTGGACGGCACGAGCCATGCCTTGGAGGCGTTGAAGAGCACGGCCCACGCCAAGCGTCCGAGAAACTCTTGTGGGATGCTCGACGCCACCTGCCCAATGTGCCTTCCGGCGCGACAAGCGTAGACAAGCACCCGATGGCGGCGGCGGCGTGGCCGTGGCTCGCGAGGCACCAGGCGACTGGCGACTGGCGTCACGATGACATAGAAGCCAAGGGCAAAGATAGATGGCAGGAGCGATGACCACAAGGTAGCGCAGCGCAAGGCGCCGCGGGCAGCTGCGAGCATCAGACGCACGGCGGTGCCAGCCAGCAGCGCAGCAGCCACACGCTCGGTTGCGATCATTTGGCGACTGAGCCGTTGCCGCATCTCCTTCGATCGATCGGTGGAGGCATTCCCACCTTCCACACTAGCCTCATCCCCCGGCTGTATAAGCCTCAAACCCGCAACGAGCTGTTCATTTCGCATAGCTTTTGCATCGAAAGAAAGCGGCTACGAGTCCATAAATTCACCAAGAGCCTGCAGCACCTGTTCGAGCCACGGAGACGACGTGCACCCGAGCGCCTTTGCCACGAGGCGGCCGCCTGCGAGAACGGCCGCGGCCGCGTAGACGGACGCAAAGCACCAAAGCAGCGCCGTCCACGGTGTCGTCCAGCGCCACGCAAACGCGCCGCACTGCTTCTGCACAAAATGCTGCCAAACGCTTGGCATCGGCGGCGACAAAGTCCCGAGATAGACGACGTCCTCATCCTCGTCGTCGTCGTCGTCGTCATGGCTAGAAGGCATCGCGAAGGTGCGTCGGGCCGGCGTGAGGTAGATTGCGATCCACATCGCGACAAGGCAGGCGACTGCGTCCCAGAGCAGGAGGCCGGTACAGGCGATGTCCCATGCGACCGCCAGCACGACGAGCGCCAGTAGCACCAGTCGGACGCATCGATTCGTCATCATTTGGGGAATAACGCCCTTTGACGGGACGGTATATGGCAGCTGCCCCGGGCGAGATGTACGGCATTGAAGCCTGCCTTCGAAGCCTGGGCGGGGCAAGATCGAAGCCTGGTGCAGAGATGGCAAACCTCGATTTCCTCGCACCATGCTGCTTCAAGAAGGGATCGCCGTCGTCGTCGCGTGGCAGATCTTGCCGTCGCCGCTCGCCTTGCTGCTTACTGTGCATTTCTTCGTCTATGCTAATTCCGACTCTGTGGTCTGCGCACTCTTGCGCCGCAGTGTCTCCAACCCCGTCACGACGGGCGCGGTGGTTGCGCTCTCGACCTGCATGTGGTCGCAGCTGTCACGGGCCGTTGCAATCCCAGCCAACGTGTTGCTCGCACTTGTGGCGCTTGTGAATCCCGCGGCCGTTGCGTGCCTGCGTCGTATGGACGTGCGCCTCGCCCAGGCCGCCAACGACGAGATCGTGGACGGCGTCAAGATGCTCCTGCTCATTCACATTCGCCCGCCGCCGCGGGCGACAAGCTCCCGCCTCGTCATGCTCGCCTTTGTCCGCGACGAGGTGATCAAAGCGGTGCTACTGGCGTTGTGCAAGAAAGGGTACATCTACGCGGCGGGTGTCGACAACCCCGAGAGCTTTTTCCGACTCGTGGGCAAGATCTTGGTCGCAACCTATGTGCCACCGTTCCTTTACCAGTCGATCGCACGTGCCTAAGACACAATCTTGGCTATAGTGTTAAGGCTTGACCTATGCAATTGCATGTCTTGACATTGTTTGTCGCCACTCGTCAACGCTTCCTGACCGTCCATTCTTGTCGAATTGAAACGGCGAATAAGACGTGGAAATGGACGGCTGTCCGCCGAGCTGTTGAAAAAATATCAAATCGTTGTACTACTGTAGTATATCGTCGAGTGCATAGCTGCATGAACAAGATCACACGTCCAAGGCTTAAACATTTTTGTACTGTTGTACTGGAGGCCATACCATGGATTCTGACCTCCGATACTTTACCGGTAACCTTTTTCCTAGGTAGCGATCTACTGATACGAGTACAACTAGGGATATCGTGGTCATCTAGCTCGCAGCAATACGTCGCCATTAACGCATCCATAGCTTGTCGCCACCGACAAGGATCCCATCGACGGCGAGCTGGCTTGCGTGTGTCTTTCCGTGTGGTTTTTATTTCTCGCATGAACGCGTGAAAATCGATGTGCAAAATAATAATAATACAATGCCGCAGTAAGATTTCGCCGTATTTGCGAGGCCGCCATGGGCCGCGACACCAAGCCGCTGGACTCGGACTACTCGGACTCGGACGTGGACATGGACGTCCCGTTCCGTGCACGCGTCCCTAGTACGCTATCCAAAGCATCCGATGCGCGTGCTAACGCCGTCTGTCTAGAGCTCGTGGTATTGCCTGCCTGCCCGCCAGTGCCAGCCTCCGACGTTGGCGGTATTACCGCACTGCCACTAGTACGACAATGCAGCTCATAGAGCCATGTCTAGTCGAAGCGCCGCCAATGAACCTTCTGTCGCTACTGCCGCCAGACATGTGGGTGCAACTCACGCCGGCCGAGCGCGCGAGCTTGCTGCCGACGCTGCCCGACTTGAGTGGCTGGTGGGGCTTGTCGTCCGACGACGCGGCCGCCGAGAACGTGCGGCTGCTTCTCGCAGGCGCCAACGTCAACTTTGGCAACCCGCTCGCGCGATTCAGCTTTCCGAGCGCCGCACGGAGCGCGCGGATCCGCGACGAGCGTGTCGCGTTCGAGTGGGCTCGCACCGAGTACGCGTCGTCGGTCACCGCCTCGATCCTTTCGCACCGCGCGCAGCTGCTGCGCGAGCCCATGTCGCTGGACGAGCATGCCCTGTCGACACCGGTACATGGCTATTGGTTTGCAGCATGGCTCATGCGTTCTAGGCAGCGGTGCCGGCGTCGGGCCGCATTGTCATCGACGAGCTTCGGCCATCGGCGCCGTCGCTCTTTTTGGCGATTCGCGCAGCCCTGCACGGCACGCCGCGCACAGCAAGCGATGTCTGCGACATCGTGTCGGCCGAGCACACGTGGACCCCGGCCTTGGACGGCGTCAATGGTACGACATGTGTCCCTGGTCGTCGTTGAACGAAGATGACATTAGTGCCCGAGCTGACGCCGCGCCTGTATGTGGAGAGCGCCCTCGTCTTTTTATCGCAGCCGATCGTCTCGACCGAGTTTGCCGGCGGCGCGCACGGCTGGGACGTGCCATTTGTGGCCTTCGACCCGGCCACCGAGACGTATACGTGGCGACGAGGTTGGCATTGCACGCATCTTGCATGCTGGAGCGTATGACATGTGGCTGCAGACGCGTCGATCGAGCACGTGAGCATGGACGACGCGGTGCGGGTATTGCACCTCGAACGTCTCTTCCGGTCGCCATTCCGCGAGACAGATCCGAGCTTGCAATCGCATGCGTACATCGCGTTCTTGTCGACGTCTTGTTTGAAGCCTTTGGTAGTGCCATCTTGCGCGTCGCTCGGGCCCACAACGAAGCGTCCAAGCGGCCGCGACACGACGAAGAAGCTATGGACCCAGCACCGTTGCCTCCCGCGTGCACCCTCAAGACGGCCGACGTATCCACATACCCAACGTTGATGATGTTGATGATGCATGTATAAGGTGCCGATGGCCGCGCAGCAGCGTCCATCACAAGCCATGTACCACGCGCAGGACCGCCAGCGCTACAGCAAACCCGGCATGGTCTTCACGTACGATGGCTTGCGGCGTGGATGCGTGCTAGACAGCTTGTGTAGGTACGTCAACACGGAGACGGGGCACGAGACGTCGGTCGGACCGCTGCTGCCCGTGGTCGACAGCCCCGTCGATGACGCGTCGCTCTTGGTGGCTGTGCCTGACCTGCCGCCGGCCGCGTCCGTGGGCTGGATCAACATTACGCGCGATGCGCTCGCCCGCCTTCCGCCAAGCGGCGGGTCGCGCGCCGACATTGTAGCGCTCGCCGCACTCTCCATGTACACGACCCTGGTTTGTTGTTGTTTTGTATCAACTTGATATTTCTAGATATGTGCACCCGTCGACAAGCGTGGACGACGTTGCGACGGTATTGGATTTGTGCACATATCTATTCTGCGTCGTAAAGGCTCATTCTTTGGTTGGCGAGTAGGCGGTGGCTCGAACGCTCGATGCTCTCTCGTCCGGGCCGATGGCGTGTGCGAGCTGCAGCTACGACGCCGCCCGTCACACCTATCGCTGGGTCTACTCGGTGGGGTTGTAGTAGAAGCGAGACGACTAAATACTAAATCCACCGTCTATTGCTAGTCAATATATAAAATGCGACGACTTGTCAAGGCTCGTGGGCGTAGTGAGCGAGGATCCATTCTTCCGGGACGACGGCGGCAAAGCAGACGTAGTACGCGATAAAGAGTGCCAGAACAACCGTGATGGCACCGATGAGCATCAACACGATCGCGCAGTTGCGCTCAAACGTCTGCAGCGCGCCGCCAAGGGCCGACGACCGCGCCGCCTTGGTAAACTCAAACGCCGAGTGCAGCGAGACGCCGATCGACGACGACGATGAGGTTGGCAGGCTCCGGGCGAGCGACGCGTGCTTGATGGCGAGCGCCTTTTCGTGGCACGGCTTGCATTCTCGGACATCGTGGAGGATCGAACCGGTAGCCTCGGGCGCCGGGACGATGGGACCGTCGAGGACAAACGAGCACTGGAGACACATGAGCTGCTTGCACGCGTGGCAATGGCACTTGCGCTGGAAGTGATGAAACTTCGCTTTGCACACGTGGCAGTGCGACAGACGCCGTTCCTTTGCGGCGTCGTGGCCCGTCGTGCAGTCGGTACAGACCCACGCTACGGGCTCCGTCTTCTTCTTACTCTTGCTCTTCTCGGTCGACGGCGAAAGGTCCTCGGGCGTGAGGTCATAGGCGGCCGGGTCCACGTCGGCGCCGCATTTTTTGCAGGCAAAACGCTGGCAGATGGCGCACTTGGTCTTCTTCTTCAAGAGCGTGAGCGGGTCGTTGCACAGCTGGCACTCTTTCGACGGCTTGGACGTCGACGTAAACACCGAGCAGCCCTTGCAGCAGCGTTCGCGGAGCCGGCGACGGCCCGACGGCGACGGGTTCGACGACGTGCTGTAGCGCGACGACATGGAGAGGAGCGCCGAGTCGTGCGACGTGTCGCTCGCCGAGTGCGGCGACATGGGCGGCGACAACACATTCGGCGCCGAGTGGTGGCGAGCCTCGTCGTCGTCGTGATCTTCCGAGATGCGCGGCGCCGGCAGCAAGATGGCATCGACGCCCACATCCCGCAGCGCGATCGAGCACTTGCGGCAGACCACGAGGCTGCAGTACTAGACAAAGTGCATATGAGCTCGATCGTCCGTCAGTGCACAGTAAGAGCGTACGTGGCAGGCGTAGCGGTGGCGAAACACGGTGAACTTTTCGTGGCACGTGGCACACGCCTTGGTCGTCTCGTCGTCCGAGGCCGAGAGCGTCGAGAGGCGGCCGGACGAGTACCGGGTCGAGAGCTCCGAGTCGCGCGCCGGCGAGAGCACCGGCGGCGGGATCGTGATCGACATGCGCGAGAGGCGGGAGGCCGTCATGCGTGTTCGGCGGAATAAAAACCAAAGTAGTGTATCCGGGCGCGTTGCGACGTTCGTATCCGGATGCTGGCCAGCAGTGCGTTGGCCAATCACAAGCGTGCCAATGTATCCTACCCAATCACAACGCTGCCTGAGACACCTATGTTCACGCGGATGACGCAAGCCGGCAGCGTGTCGATCACGCAAAAGCGTCGCGAGTCAACATGCGCGGGCCGAGGATCCTGGCGTGTCGCAGCCGTCGCGCAAGGAGGACATAGTATTATAGTCTTGGTAGCTATGTCAATTGTTGTATTTAGTGATTGTGCTAATGTTAACGCCAAGAGAGTGAGGCAGAGATTTTCCTGGCGACGAGATCTTGATGCGTATATTTTTTGGTTGCCGTACGGATATGGACGAGATGGCAGGATACGATGATGATGATGAGATCGCGCCATGGGTCGCGGAGATATTCAAGTACTGTGTGACAGAAATGTCCACAACCCAGAGTGCAGGTCCATAGAATTCACTCCCTCGAGACGCCGTGCGTACTGTACCAATAGTACGTGTTAACGGCACCTCTAAACACCCACCTCTAAAGTTTAGAGGCGTGCTGCTGGTATAATTCAGAGTTCAGAGTCCAATAACTGAGTATTGTCATTGCCAACACGCCTCGACGAGGGAACTATCCGCGGACGATTGGTGTTCCATGAGTTTTCGCCTGGAGTTTTCGGAATTGAATTCCTCGTCGGACTGAGACGAGCAGGACGACGAAGCTCTGTTTCGTGACAAAAGCTTGTCCCCGACGCGACGGTCGTCGTGCGTCGCATGCAAGCTAACTGACGCGGCATGATGAGTCGTCCCAGTACATGTACAGTACTGATCTACACGTGTACCGGTAGTACATCGACCGAGCGACGTGCATACCATACATTCTGCGCCCTTCATGGTGCGCAGGCTCCTTCTTTTATCTATTGCATGTCATTGGATGTGTGCCTGCATCGACAGTGGTCCTCGTGTCTGCTTGTGCCACCTCGTTCGCTCGTGCTGCCACGTCAGTGGCGAAACGCACGACGGACCCTACACCTACAACTTGCAGTGTACCCGTGCGTAGTACAGTACTGTGTGGCAGTAGACGCCTCATACAGTGGCTGAGCACTGAATATTTGACAGCTCTACAACCACTAGGTCGACGAGACACGGCGATGTGTTTGTATCAATCTATCAGTAAAAAAGTCCTACCGAGAAACCGTTAGGATGGGACTGTACAGGAGCCTGTGGCCAGGGTTCCAGCAGTCAGTTCGTCTATCTAGTTCCCTATTTGCCTCTTGGTACACACGCCGGTGTTTGGGAGCACGGCCTCCCTTGATCTGGTGTTTGGAGGCGGAAATGGTCACATACTGCCCAATACCGCCTGGCACAGTCGAGTCACGTGATGCCACGCCCCCAGACGACTACAAAGCGGGCATTTGCTCAAACGAGATATATTAGCATCGACTATGTATACGACGACCGGCGCTGTTTGGACTCGAGCTTGGCCATTTGAATATCAAAGTGCACGCCGCGTTGCGCCACGTAGAGCTCGGTGAGGCGGTGGACGAGGTGGGTCTTGAACCCGAGGGCGACAAAGTCGACGCAGCAAGCGACGACGATCGAGGTATGTTGCACGCTGCTATCGGCCGCAAACACATAGTAAATGTTGAGGCAGAGCAGCGGCACTTCCTGGAGCCAGAGCCGGAGGAGCGAGTTAGCCACTTCCAAGTGCTCTTGCTGCAGGTGCCCAAGCGACACTTGGAGTGCGACGAGCGTTGTGACCATGCTCTGCCGTCCGTGGACGTGCTTTCGAATCATCACGGACGGCGGCTCCCCGGGATTTAGCGCCGGACCGGCCTCGGTCGGCTTGATTTTCGTCGTGTTGAGTACCCACGGCCACGGCGAGTGGCGAAAGAAGATTGGCACGCGCAAAAGCAGGAGCGATGGAAGGGACGCGAGCTCGATGCCGAGGCCCATTGAGTAGAGTGCGATGCGGCCGACGTTGGTGTCGTACACCATGACGTACATGAAATACGCCACCAGCTCGGCGACGAGCTGCGTCATGTCCAGGAGCGTTTGGAGGCCGAGCACGAGCTGTACGCGGCGCTCGGCCGCGCGCTTCTCAAGGTTGGTCACGACCATCTGCGTCTGCGTCGGGTCTTCGATGCCACTCTTTTCTTGTTTGGAAAAGCCGGTAAAGACGCGCGCGGCGAGGCAGCTCTGCGAGAAGAACATGCGCACGAGCAAGATGAAGCTGCACGCACTTAAAATGCAAATCATGCCAAGCACGGCGGGGCCATACGGCAAGAGCGACGGCGAATTCGTGGCCGACCATGTGACGGGCGCCCAGTTGAAGTTGACGGCTCTCGGCGTGAAGACCATACTTCCGGATGTTTTTTCATAGCTAAAGTTGCCGACCGTCGCAAGCGTACCGGCGACGAGCACGTCGAGGTCGAAAGCGGGGGCTCGCACATGCGATGTGCCGGATAGATACTGCACGAGGCCTGTCCGACCGATGAAAGGCGCTGACGACGACACGTCATTGGTCTGGTGCCGCAAGTATGCATACGTGGCGTCGTACAAGAGATGCACGGTCGACGTGGTCGATGCGTTGGCGACAGAGGCGGGCGACCACGAGAGCGGTGGCGCGAGCGATGTGTTGGCGGCCGCGATATGCGTTGTGGGCATCGTGATTGAGAGCACGGTGATGGTCAATGGCGTCGGAGACACCATGTGGAGCATCTTGACGTCGATGCTCAAGCCCACAAAGGCTATGCCGACGGTCGCCGCAAAGAAGGTGTTGGCCGCTGCGACAAAGGCTAGGTTTGATGCGGGTGACGTCTCGGCGCCATCAAAAACCAGCATCGCGAGCTGTGGCTGCGACGATTGCACAAGCGTCAAGACGCTGCTGAGGGACGACGGGGTGTCGTACACGTAGAGATGGCTTGCAATGCCCGCGTTGACGTTCAAGAGCAGCGGCAACAGCGGGTAAAACGAGCTGGACGTTGAAATGACGTAGGCGATCGCCGCACTCGACTGACGATAGTGTGACGCAAGTGCGGCGACAGCGCGGAGCTTGAACTCGTCGCTCGGCGCGATCTGCAGCGCTGTGGTACCTGACGCGCATGTATAGCCGCTGCAGCCATAATGGACATGCGCGGCCGTCGGGCGCTCGAGCTGAAGCAGCGAGTCGACGAGTGCACACGACGACGAGGCGCAAATCGGCCCAAAGATTGCGCTGACATTGGGCAGCTGTCGCCACGCGGCGAGCGCACCCGCGTCCGAGCAGCGTGTCTCGAGAAAGATAGGCGTCACGGTTCGGTTGGGTAGAAAGGACGCGCGTGCGTCTGCGATGGCTTCCTGAACTGCGCTCTGGAGCTGTGTGTCGCTGAGTGACGGCACAAACACGCCGAGAAGGAGGTCGGCGCTCGCCGCCGCCGCGACGACCGCCAGCGGCAGCCACGTGCGACGCGCCATCTCGTGGGAAAGAAGTTTCGCACCGTCTACTCTAAACACCCACCGACCGACGCTAAAAATACGTAAACTGAATTTCTTGTGTTTATGACACTATGTGTCATTGGTGATCATGGAACGTCGCCAACGAGGCAATTGTGGTTTCGAGTGCCGAGACGGACGAAAGCAACGAGTCGTGCAGTGGGCGCATCTCGATCGGCGCCAACGAAGCCGTTTTGTACGTAAGGAGCTCGCGACGCAACTCGTCCGAGAGCGCGCGCTCCGCGTCGAGCTGCGCTTGCAACGCGCGCACTTGGCTGCGGGCGTGGACGATGTACACGCGGTAGGTCCCCAGATCCGGCACACTCTGCTCGGTGTGGACCCGAAGCGCCGCGAGTTCGGATGTTGTCGCCGCCAGCGCGGTCTTGGATTGCATCAACGCGCTGCGCAGTGCATCGCACGACATGCACGCCATCGAAGATACTTTTTTCTCGACGGGGATTGGATGGCGTCGGTTCGTTGGATCGGCTTCGAGTGCCGTGATTGGCTACCGCTCAAAATAGAACAAAAGGCAATATGGCCCAGGGCAAGCCGTCGGCCGTCGCGCTGGTCGGCAACACGGGCGGCGGCCAAGTAAAGTGGAATGCCGTCAAGCTCGGGGCAGCGTCGGTATTGGACCACCGCGTTGTGCTTGACAGCATTCGCTACGACTATGACATTGCCGACCCGCAATCGTACCAAGTCCTCAAGCAAAATGCAAACCGGCCGTGTCCGTACACGCAGCCTTTTCCAAAGATCAGTTCGCAAAGCACGAGTCATCGCTCACTGCTGCTGTCGCGGCCGTCGCCTCGCCTTTCAACGCCGATCGCGAGTCCCCCAAAGAAGATTCAATTTAAAACCTTGTCCATCACCGCACCAAAGTCGCCAATGAAGCCGACGTCACCACAGAAACCGAGGTCGCCGCCCAAACCCACGTCGCAAGTGTCATCAACAACGTCACCACGCGCCAAGCAAGCCTGGTCGTTACCGCTCGTAAAGGAGAGACCCAAGTACATTCCGTCGATTGCCGAGGTGGACCGCAAGCACACGCGTCAGTTTGCACTGGCCAAAATGCAGGTGGACGGACTCGCAAGTCAGCTCTCCAAGCACGAAAAGACAGGCAAAACTCTCAAGGGCTCCCTCTCGGACGACGACTTCACCACGGCGTGCCTCACGGTCGCGCGCCTCGCGGCCGAGTACGCCGCGATCGGCGATTCCGAGACGTACGTTGGTCAAGTCCGTGTTTCGAGCCTATCACTATGATCCATGCTAGGGCATGGGTCTACCGCTGCTTTGGCGCGCGTGCGCTAGGCGACCGCTACATCCAGTCCTTTCTGAAAAACGTCACTTTGCAGTTTTACGACGACGCGGTCGTCGACTTGGAGCGGGCGTGTGGGCACTTTCAAACGCTCTTTGAGATCAAAGCCCAGGTCCTTTCGTCCTCGAGGTCTCTCTCAATCGAACGCCGTAGACGAGTTATGCGCGCACCGAGGACGAGACCCAGAGCCAGAGCGATCGCGACCGGTAGGAACAACCACCAATATCCATCCATGTATACATTGACGACCATGCACGTAGCTTTATGCTCTTGTCGCTTGCCCCCGAGCACGTGGTCAAGTCGTTTGCGGCCCACGCCGCCAACACGGCGCTGCGCCAAGCGTCGATCGCGACCGCCGAGGCGAAATCGCGCACTGGCAGTGTCTTCCACATTCGCATGGCGTGCGAGATGCTCTCGATCGCGTACGCGGCCTTTGCGTGGCTCCGCTTGGAGACCGACCAGCTCGGTATCGTGCACACGTCGATTGACGCGGCCCAGCGCAACGCAACGCTGGCGACGGCTCTAGCAACCTTGGCCTCGAACCGGCACAAGGCGCTCGTGACCGAGTGGATCACCCACCACGAGACGTGTGCGGCGCAGGCGCAGAGCTTTCTCACGATCGCCAAGACCGCCGACCGGTTGCCCAAAGACGTGGCGGTCGCAACGCACATAGCCGCGACCAACCTCGAGAAGCGCGTCCTCGTCGCGGTGGTCCAAGTGCTCCAAGGCCGCGGCGTGGACCGCAAACATAGCAGCCGCATCAAAGCCACGCGCGACCAAACCAAGATGGGCATGTCGGAGCAACGGCTTCGTCGCAAGAGCGCGCTCTCGGGCCACGTGGACGGGGCGTACGTGAGTCTTCTCGCTGCCAAGCGCCGGTCGGACCTGCTGGCCGCGTCGTACGAAGCCAACGTGTACGCGCTAACAAAGGACACGCGCGCCGTGCTGCCGCTCCAACCCCCGTCGCCGCGAC